TCCAATCGTGCGGTTCTCTAAAGATCATGACGGAACTTGTTGACTAAACATTAAACGTCCTTGAGGGCAGGAGGCTTCCCGCAGCACATCTAACTTGCTGTCGACCATATGCGTGACTCACCAGCGCCTTGCTTTGGGGGTCCAATTTTGTAGTATAATACAAAGCAGATCACCCGGCGCTGTCTGAATGTGTCCTGCCACACACCAGTCAAGACTCGTCCTGCCGCAAACAGTTACGTCACAGACAAACGCCTCGAATCATCGAACAAATCCTACAGAGCGAATTCCCAACCCATGTCGTGGACAGATATTTCTGATGGTCTCAGCTTGACAAGCAGAAAGCCGCCGATCACCGCCGGCCAGCAGCATGAAGCCGAGTGGCACGTCCCCAGCGGCTGGGCTGGGCTGCCGAGACGGCGCCTTCCGCGCCATCTGCTGGGTGATTCATTATGCTGCCGGGCCGGTCCTGCCAGTGGACCACGGCAGGTGCGACCCCTGTCCGACCCCGTCCCTGCGGCAGCGTTTGCAGACGGCACCCTCTCGTGGACCCTCCCCTCTCCCCGGTGGCGTGGGCAGAGATAATTCTCTCCCTCTACCCCGTTCCCCCTCCCCCCCCCCCCCCCCCCCCCCAGCTGACATCCCTCCGGCAGCACCGGCTGAAATAATCTGTATCGGTAGCCCCGCAGAGACCATCCCTCCCTCGCCTCGTAACCCCCGCAGCGCCGGCACATGACCAGCCCGATCACCTCCGGTAGGGCCAGCAAGTGATTTCCCCAGACCCCATCCCCATACTAGCAGCACCGCCAATGATCCCCGAAAACAATCCCTATTCCCTAAGCCTACGCCCACACCAGTAGCGTCGCCAGATTATCCCCTACGCTCACCCCATCCCTCAGCAGTGCCGCCAATGATGCCCCTCCCCTGGCCCCACCCCCCACCAGCAGCGCCGGCCGACGGCAGACGCCTCGGCCGAACAAAGTCGGATCATATTGCCGGCGATAGGCAATCTCGCGACAAATGGCTCCCGGACGTGTTTTAAACTACCAAATAGACAAGTCAGTCATCAGGACGGCGGCCGCGCGCATCCGGGGCCTGTGGGCCCGCCGGCAGGCCCGGCCACGTTCCGCCAGCGCCGGGGCCGTCCGCCGCCGCGCCGCCCACAGAGACCAACTGACGCCCGCTGGGTGCGGACACGGTCTCTGGCAAGCGGAATGGCAAAAGTTGTCTGGAGACACACTTCTCCGAAAGATGACTGGAAGCCGTCTCGAGAAGCGCTCTCTTGGACGTGGAATGAGCCGTGACGTGTCGAGGTCTGGTCTTCAAGAGATGGATGGACACGTGACGGCTGTAGAGACGCTCTTTAGGAAATGGTTTGACACGTGATGTCTGGAGACACGCTCTGTGAGAAATGGCTTGAGACTTGATGTCTGGACGCGCCCTCTTTGGGAGATGGCTGTAGACACGCTCTTTAGGAGATGGCTGTAGACACACTCTTTAGGAGATGGTTCGGCACGTGACGTCTGGAGGCACTCTGCTTGGGAGATGGCGGTAGACATGCCCTTTAGGAGATGGTTTGGCACGTGATGTCTGGAGGCACCCTCTTCAGGAGAGACTGTACATGACGTCTGGAGGCACCTCCTTGAGGAGATGGACGGACATGCTTTGTTCTGGGGCAAGCTCCTGGCTAGCTGTGGAGGCTGCGAGCACTGCACCGCGCCATTCCTGGCGACAAACAAGCTGGAGCAGCTAAATGCGTTTAAGGTGATTTTGCCTTGCGGGCTGAAAGTCAAGAAATTTCGCTTGTCATATGCAAGCAATTTCACAGACTCTTCAGACGAATGTCGTAAACAGGTTGCACAGGACGGGTTAAATGGATACATACATCGGTACGCGCAAGACTGAACTGCCTCCAAATTCGACTCGGTTCGGTGCAAAACGAATGCAAAATGGCGCACCTTAATTTGGAGCCAACATTCTTTGTTGACATAGGCGCGGCAAAGAAAAAAGGCGCGCAATGGTCGTCTAGCGTCTGCGGCCCAGAGTCGAACCATAACATACCGCATCACATCGCTGCATGCTTGACTTGTTTTTACGTCTCAATAGCCTGCGGGGAGGGTAGGATAGCCTACAATTTGAGTACCGTGAGTGTTTTCGTCGTTCAGCCATCTGTAAAATAACAGCCGTCGGTATCTGCAATATGCGTACTTAATTAGCGGTGATGCGCGTGGCATAGTGTACGACGCCTCGGCAACGACGGAATTAGGCATCCTGGAACTGAACATATATTTTTGTTCAGCGAGGGACAGTAACCTTACGGAAATTGATTAGCCATGATTCGGAAATGGCGAGCGGCGAGCACGGAACATTCCCCGACAGCAAGGCGAAAGCCCAGCACTCGCAATTATATAGCCATCGCCAGACATCAACCAGGCAGGAACTCCATCACGCAGCGAGGTGCGATCAATGCTACCGCTGTGCTACCGCTCGTCAACATTGGGCAAACGCGGCGCGCGGCCCGACAGACGTACCGGCGCCAGGTGGTCCCGGCACGGCCCGAAACAGGGAACTGGCGGGCGGTACCAGCGGCAGCGGCAGCGGCAGCCGAGTCTGAGGCCGGCCGCTGGCTGTCCGCCGGTGGCGCCGGATGGTCTGGCCGGCCGAGGCTGGCTCAGCGCGCCGCCCACCGCACCGTTAGAACAGGGAACTGGCGGGCCGTACCAGCGGCAGCGGCAGCGGCAGCCGAGTTTGAGGCCGGCCGCTGGCTGTCCGCCGGCGGCGCCGGACGGTCTGGCCGGCCGAGGCTGGCTCAGCGTGCCGCCCACCGCACCGTTAGAACAGCTGCTGGGTGCGCAGCGTTCACGGCTGTCATCCGTTTTCATTTGGATGTTGTAGCAGGTAATGGAAACAGTCAAGACTGCTTTGAGAAGGGCAGACAGAAAATAAGATATAAAATATGCACCTTAGAATGTGATGATGAGCTCCAACGGAATGGACTGCCTTATGCAAGGATTTCAACCAAGCCAGTGCAATGAAAATGCGGCATCAAGTCGTACTAACTTTGATATAAGTAACTTCAAACAAATTTCATTAGCCCGGGACGTCAATAGCGCATTCTCAAGTACTCCGGGATCATAGCTCGCTTCTATGGCTGGTTTAAAAGGTGGCTAGTTCCACCAACGTTTTAAAGCTAAGCTACATTAAAGCAATCGACAAGGCTTTCAGATCACACTTAACCGCTTCCTAGATGTGGTACGTTAGCTGGAATTGCCCCGCCTGGGCAACTGGCTATTTCCAAAAGCTTAATCATTTTTAGGCATCACGAACATTCAGTGAATGATAACTGAGACTACCACTGTAAATCCGCCTTGGCATGTGTATATTCTTCCACGCTTTTGTTAGTAAGCTTGCCGCATCAAACGCTCACTCAAGTGGAGTCGGCTCACACCCCTTCCGACGGAGTTTGCTGATCGCATCTTACAAGCGGGACATCACTGGAGCGTCGCCGACGGCCTGCCCTTTTTGCCGGGGGATATACGCATGCGACTGGAGGACCCAGGCGAGCGCCCCTCAGGAGGGGAGCGAGCAAATTGATGACCTGGGGAGGGAAGGGGGGAGGGCAACACTGATTTGTGTATGAAACTATGACCCACTACGCCGGTGGCTGCCGTGAGGGAGCACGCCGGCATCAGGCAGCCGTGCCACTTGATCATTAGACGTCGAGGACTTCCGGTCCGGCATCTCAACACGCCGGTGGCAGTACTACCGAATCAGAAGCACGCCACACGTATGCCAGGCATCTGCACGACCCTGTTCACGAATAAGAGTTCTACAGCGGCACTGCAGTGTTAATAGTGGCCGACTGACAAGAACGACAACATAACGATCGGGGTGTGGGGCACACCTCAATATATGAAAAAATACTGGTGGACCCAGGCGCCCTGGCTCGGTCGAATTTGTTTCATGCTTTGTCTGGGTCATAGCAAACAACGCAATATGGAGATTTATGCCCTGCCCCACCGGCACCGTGCACACGTACTCCCTTGCCCTGACCGCGACTCAAAGTAGTCGGGGCACCATACCGCACTCTTGCGCACAAATTCAGCTCAATCCCGCATACCAGCACCTCATGGATTCGTAGCTCAGGCGCCTCCTGCGGCCGACCCATTGTGCTGTTCCAAAATCAATCGGGTAATCATGGCTCTTTCAAGTCGCACAATGTCTGCATAATCTATTTAGCCGGGACAATGCGAGCCACAGAGCGCAGCGCGTCACCCAAGAGGGATAATCGAGTTTGCCGCGCGCCGCTAAAAGCCTGTCAGCGCGCCCCAGCTGCGGGGGTGGCGCCTGTCCGGCCGGGTCGTGACCCACAGGTGCGCCGCCTTGTCCCGGCCGCGGGGGTGGCGCCTGTCCGGCCGGGTCGTATCCCACAGGTGCGCCGCCTTGTCCCGGCTGCGGGGGTGGCGCCTGTTGGCCGGGTCGTGACCCGCAGGTGCATCGCCTTGTCCCGCGGCACAGCGCGGCCAGCGCGGCACAGCATAGCACAGCACAGCACAACACGGGATCGCAGCGCGCCACGCCGCACCGAACGCAGCGCCGCCGCGCCGCCACCGCATTACGCCACAATACGAGCCAATAAACCAACCGTTATCAGGCCCAAACTTCGCAAATAACTCCACCCACACAAAAACATGATGCAATATAAAATCTGACGTTGTTAAGGCGCTGGCTCGGCCAGATTTGAGACCACTCGCCGCCGTCGGAATGACAAACAAGAGCAGCCATGTTTTGATAAGCGGCACGCGACCAGGCCGAGGCAATTCTGCGCACGATCGAGCCGGCGGCGGTCACGAGGGTCATCTATGCTCGTCCCCAGCACGAAAGAGGCACGCTAGCACCACCGGCCAGCGCCCGGCCCGTCCCGGAAGATGCGCTCGCGACGCGGGCCGCAAGCAGTGGCGTGACAGGGGACTCAGAGACAGAAACACAGAGGCGTTACTTACCGACGGCGGCGGCGAACGACAGGACGTGGGCCAGAAGCACATAAGCCGCCACGGCCATCCTCTCCCTACGGACAACAGGCGGCACGGTCAGTCACGGCGACGGAGCCGAGCGTACCGCACGGCTAGGAACGGGAGCCGGAGCGGGCAGGCGGATGGGAAAACGGGGTACTCTACCGCCTAGCCGCACAGCGGGCCGCAGCAGGGGCACGCGGACGGGCGGGCGGGCGCGGCCGGCGCCGGCTTCAGGAGCGTTGCCGTCGCCGAACGGGCTGTTGCTGCGGCCGGCCGGGCGGCGAGCGCGGCGGGGCCCCTGCCGCCACGCCATCCATGTGGACGCGCGCCGCCGGTAACGCGGTGCGGCGCGCGGCTGGCGCCAGCGCCGGCGTCCGCTTCAATCCCAGGCCGAGGAGTCTGCGGCGCGCAGCTCCCTCTCTCTTTCTCTCAGCGCGGCGGCGTCCTGCCAGGCCGCTTCAGCCGGCCACGCCGCCCGCCGCCGCACGGAGTCGCGGATTCAGTCCGACGAAGGGCGATGAGTTGGTGCGACGAGCTGGAGCGATGAGCTGGTGCGACGACCCTGAGCGACGAGCTGGAACGATGAGCTGGTGCGACGATCCCGAGCGACGAGCTGGAGCGCGAACGCGTGCGGGCGACAGGCCTGGCGACAGCAGGCGAGCGAGCTACAGGGAAACGCCGGCAGCTCGGCCGGTGTCGGCGCCGGCGGCTAGCGTGCCGGGAGCTGGTGCCGTCGACAACAGGGCGGCGCGCCGCGTGCCCGCGCCCGAATATTAATTCCCAGCCGATATGAGGCGTGCTGTTTTGTCGCGGCCCGATCGGCGGCCCGCTGGTCCGCGTAATTCCTACCCGGGGGAGGCGCTAAAAACAAACGCCGCCGAGCAGGCACGCGCCGACACCGGGCGCTGTTTGACGGGCGGCGGCGGTGGCGGGCGCCGCCCCGCCTCCGGGCGCAGGCACGCGTCCACCGATTGTCGACGCGTGGCACGTACGCTCCGACATTGAGCCGCGCCTGTTTGGAAGGATTAGGATCGACCGTTATGGCAGACGCGGCCACTGTAAAAGGCCAGCTCCAGACGGCCGCAGTTCGGCCCGAAAGACGCCAGCTATGGCGTGCAAGGGCTCAAGGTCCCGGATGGCGCTACGTGACAGAGGACGACCCTTCTCCATACCTAGACCTATTCATCCAAATGAAAATAATCGATTCTAGAATCTCGATCATGCCTGGCGACACATACTTGTACAGGCATATCCCCCCCCCCCCCCCCCCCGTCGCTCCGACAAACCACACTGCCGGCGAGCCGAGACCTCGGCACAACCTGTGGTCGGGCCTCACGCGCTCACGCCACTGCGGCAGCGGGCCGCCGGTCGGTCGAGCCGCCTCCAGCGCCGGGGACCGCTCCTCAGCCGTCGCCGCCGGAGCTACACCGCACTACTGGCCGCGCCGCCGGCCGGCCACCGCACCCCACGACGCCGCGCGCCGCCTCTCGCCCACCTCGGCCGCGGCACACAGGTCGGCCGGGCCGCGGCCGCGCCGAGCGTCCCCAGCCCGGTCACGTGACGCCGACGCTGCCGCTCATTGGCGGTCGGCGGCGGCGGTGGCGACGGCGGCGACGGCCGGCGCCGGACCGCTGGCCGGCCGCTCAGACGACAGTGCGTCTCGTCTAAGGTGCGCGTCCGGAGGTTGCCTCCGGCAGAGGCGTGCACGGCGGACTCGAGCAGCTGACACGGACGACCCGACACGAAACTAGGTGAGCATCACAGCGACAGGACAGTGTTGGCTGGTGGACACTCACAGTCTAGGCCACAAATGAAAAGTTAGAGAGCTCGATGTTTTCAGATGTGTTTCCCTCCATGTTGGCAGCACCGATGCGTACAATACCGATCCCGCCATCCACACGGTGCCCCGCGCAATTTAAATCAAATTCCTCCCACTATACCTATCCGCGAAAATCGTGCATCCCACCGGCATCCGACAATGTTTGCGAGCTGTCCAACAATGTCGTGACATCCGCCTTGTGACGGGGCGTCGGCGGCGCTAGCGCTGGTCAGCCTGCAGAGCGCAGCCGAGTGTGGCGGGAGAAGCCCCTGGGAGCGGCCAGGCTCACCACACTTCCGGGAGGGCAGCGCGAGAGCGCCATCTACTGGCCCCTCCCATGCAGTATAGGAAAGTTGGTTTCCGTCCTTGGGGAGCGAGAACACAAAATTTAAACTCGCGGTTTGTATTGGGAATAAAATAGCCCAGGTGCGCGTGCACTGTGTACACAGCTGCTGTTGTAGAACATGCTTAAGCAGTACCTCACAGCAAATATCATGCACTAGCTGGTCTACGTAATTGCGAGATACCGCTGAAGATTGGCAGCTTGTAATTCTGACAGCTCCTAGCTTACTAAGTAAGTGTTTCCTGCCTAAGTGTATTCTAAAACATACTGCACTTTTTGAAACTATGGAGCGGATGGAAGGTGTTGGACGGAGTGTTAAAAAGCGTGAGTAGAACGTGTCAGATAGTGTGCAGACAGTGACGTTAAATGTTGTAAACCTGTTGAAAAACTCCCCATGGCATGCTACGCCAGCATAATGCTTAAAATGTCATGTCGGCCACTACAATATAAATAGGAGCATCTAGCAGACAGACGCAAGTGCAGCTGCCCATGCGCCAAGGCTTTTTTCTTCCTCACTTGGTCGCCAGATGCCGGGGCAACGTGATACGCGCCTAGGCTTCCACTAACCTAGATATATTCAATTTCGGGCCAAGTGTGACATTTCCTTTTTGGTTGCATGAAAATTTAGTCCCTTCTCCGACTTTGAGAAGAAATTTGGGAAAACATCGTTTTTACCATTTAATCGGATTTAACGATTTTCTCTGCTCACCTTTTACCCAAACTTATGTGCAAAAATGGACAGCCTTGGACGTCAGAATACTGCTGCTTTGTGATTGGGACCATGCTGTGTGATTGGGACCTGAGGTAAATTCAGTAGCGGCAGAGATTATTTCCTCCCCATACAGAAAACCAGCCCTACATGATCAGCACCTCATACATTTACTCACCGACGCTGAGTCCGATACAATGCTATGAATATTGCATGACGCTGAGCTAAATGTAGAAATAGGCTTTATATTCCCAAAAAAATGTCACTGTTAGAACCCGACATGGCTCCCGCACGGCTTTTCTAAATAAACGTCGGAAAATCAGAATGCTACAGAAAAGGAGCACAGAGGAGCAGCCTTCAACGATAACGTCGTTGTCAGTTACCTATCGGTTTTGATGTTGCTTTTCGAAGCTCTTAATAATTTTTCAGACCTTGTGCATTGGCCAAACCTAGATGAAATGAAAAAATCGAACAATTTGCAATCGATGGGCCTGCTCAACCGAGGACATGAAACTCTTCTTTACCTTCATTACACTCATCCCATAATATGGTCGCGAAGCTCCGCAGATGGATATAAAAATTGCAAGATATTTTCCCATGCCCCTTTTGGGCGTTTCCATCCCATATTCAGCTCACATTTCCTGGTAGAGAATCTGCTTCCTCTCCAATGCTTCATCCTGCCCAAGACCTGGAGACTTCGGAGCCGTTGATTTCGATTTCGATTTTTTTTCGTTTCATCCTAACACTATTTTTTCTTTCAACCTCTCCGCCAAAAAACAATCAAATCAATAAACATTTTGCTGATGGCACCATTAACCGCCATTTAGAACTTCACAAAGCATTTGGCCTACATTTCCCGCCTTTGATATCGACGATGTTGGCATCATGTGATGCATTCACCAGCTACAATCTGACTTGACATTCCAGGTGACCCGGCACAAGAGCCAGGCCCCATCATTCATCATATCCCACATCCTGCAAAATTTTATCTACAGGAAATGGAGAAGATGATGCGTACTTTCTGAAACTAACATACTGTGCACCGTGTATGTCTTTTCCTGTCTGTATTTGAACTGACCTGGAATTTGCATCATAATAAAATCCTGAGGCCTACATGCATCCCTTTTAGTCCATGTTGAATTGAAATGAGCTCCATGGTTACAGAGCATGAATTATAGGCTCACGTGCACGAACGTACCAATAATGAACAATGCTTGATGACAATTATGCAGCAAGCATTGGCAGATTACATCAGCGTTGAATGAGACTGGAAGCTGCAATCTACATGCTAATAGCATATCCAACATCATCGAAATGATCTATTGCACCACATGGACATGGGTCATGGGCACACTGACATCACAAGTTGATGACAGGAGTGTAAGTCAGTTGGAGACGATTGCAACCAGTCCAAATGCAATATAACCTCAAATGCTACTCTGATCAGACGCACTGGCCTATTTCCAACGTGTCTTGATTCGTTCACAACGCACCCATCTCCAGCCACGCTCAAGCCAAGGCGATATACAAAAATAAACAAATCGGGATCGTAACACGAGCGCTAGAATAGCCCACGATAGTTTCATCCTCGTCGGCAGCGATATGTCCATTGCCACCCTACGGATGTCGATTGCCACCCTACGGATGTCCATCGCCACGCTAGGAATGTCGATTGCCACCCTAGCCGCGGCACTCGTTTACGCCTGTCAGCAAGAACGGACGAAATTCATAAGCATATGAAACGATACCTTGTAGTTTCACCACATAGTCCAGAAAATTTGAGTCAACGTGGTTGTGTTTTTATAGACACATTTTCTTTTCTCGTCACACCATGCATTTTTTAGGTTTCCGGCACCGTCTTTTTCAGATAAGAAGGGGCCCATTTTAAAGCTGCTCTTTGCGGCTTAGACACTTAAATGAAGCAAACTACAGATGGCATACCAAAATTGCATCAAAATGATAAACACGTTTCATAAAATCCGTTCAAGTAATGTTTTTCTCCCAACCTTTCTATGTAATTGGAGGATGTATCTATTTTTCATTCGTCACTGTTACGTTCCAGTGCCACCAAAATCTTCACCCTAGGTTTCTTTATATTTGGGTCACTGTAAAAAACTAGTGATCAAAAAAGCGCGTGAATGTTTTCTACAAGCTTTTGAAATATATAAATATAAACATTTTA